TTAACACAAATACAAGAATTTGTACAAAATGACCCTCGGGTTGTAGAAGCCCTTAGATACACAGATACCATTTTCAAAAGAGCTTACAATTTCTCATTATTATTATTTTCATTTTATATTTTTGCTCTTTTTGTTAAACATTATGTCATAATCATAATAATACAAAATTATTATTCATCACATATAGCACATCATAATTGTTTATGCATATTTGTCTTGTAAATTTCAGGTCCCAAAATTTAACCACCATTTTTTGCCTTTCTTTTTTTTTTTTTTTTTTTTTTGTTAAAAACTCACAAGTGACAAGACTTTTAAACTCAGATGTAAAATGGAATTGTTTTCAACAAGAATCATTTTCTTTACAGTTTAACAGCATATGTTTTTCATTTTCTATTTCGTTACATGCTTCGCAGAAATCTGTGTTTGACAGTTTCCATATCTTTTGCCGACTTTTCGTTGGCAATATTCTGTGTAATAATTTATAATTAAATTAAGCAAACTTTTTAATATGTAGCATTGAGTGTACTTTCTCTTTCCAACAATGTTCCCAGTTAATTGAATTGTTTTGTAATTCATTTTCGCATTTGATTTGAACATTCGGTATGCTATATATTGGTTTTAAAAATGATTTGTAGAATTTGTTAACATTTTGTTTCTTCAAAATAATGTCATAATTTGTAGAGTGTAATTTTCTTTTTTCTTTTTAAACTAAGCCAAAACAACGTAAATTACGTACCACAACGGTTTCGACCTTTATCAAAGGTCATCATCAGGTGAATGAACTAGACTAAGCTAGTTCGTACCATCGGTAGATCTTCTCCGATGACGTGCGCCCTCTGTGTTGTTATGAGGTTTTCTCCGGGGGCCCCCGGGTTCTGTCTGTTGGTGTAGGATGTCATAATTTGTTTTACAATCGTTTTCTCTGTGTGTTAAACAGTAGGGATTATATTTGATAATATTTTTCCAACTATTTGGAATGGCTGCATTTAATTTTGTATCCTCAATTAAAAGCATCGTGTGTTTTTGAGAGAGATGTAATTATTTCGTTCACCTGCTTAATTTTGTATATTTTTTACATTTTGTATATCTGAATCAATCCAAATTTTTTAAAAAGAGATTTAATGTTTACAGTAATATTCTTATTTTCCCAAATTCTTTGTAGTTTTACCTCACATATGTAATGCAGTTGGATTTCCTGTATGTTATTATAACGGTTACACGTATCAATAACATTTCTATAGAATATTGGTAATTTATTCAAGGAAGCATGTTCCTCTAACTTAACTTTTGACATATATATAGTATACTCAATAGGATGCATATAAAATAATGGAATACATTTCCATTTGCCTGGATCAGGACTTAATAGCCTTTTTATCCAACTTAGCTGAAGTGAATCAACCAAGGAGTTAACTTCTATCATTTTCAAACCTCCTAGAATAATGTCTTGAACTATTATATTTTAAGAAAGTTAAGTTTCTTTTTTCCCATAATCTTAAGGTGCGCTCTAAACATGTAAGGCATGTGGATTGGTCCTAATAAGAATAAATCCAGTAGTACTCGTTAAATCAATTTTGTTAAAGAACCTGTCGAATTTCTTGGTATTTTTGTGAGCTACGATAAAGTTACTTGTATAAATAGAAATTGGTATGATAAGGTAGCATGTTTAGAGCGCACCTTAAGATTATGGGAAAAAAGAAACTTAACTTTTTTTGGGAAAATAACTATAATTAAAACGCTTGCTATTTCTAAACTAATATATAACGCTAGCATTATTGATGTTCCAAAAGGTATTATTCTCAAAATAAATAAGATTCTATGTAATTTCTTATGGAGTGGGAAAAAAGATAAAATAAAAAATAATAAAATAGTATAATATAATATTTTATTTACAAATTATATTTAAGAGCACAAAGTTGTAAAATATTATATATTGCTAATCAAATTATTTAAAACGTAATTTATTGTAATGAACATAATGTACAGTATGTTAACGTTAATAAAACAGTATACAGGTGTCATTTAATATTCCAGAATCAATATTAATGTAGTAGACTTTAATATTAATATATTTTATTGTTCCCATAAAAAAAACTGTTCAGGAATTAAAGAAAAACAAAAATAATTTAAAAATATGTTAATCAAGGCAATAATTATATACAGCAGAGTCATTTCAAGTACTGTAATATGTTTTTTTTAAATGTATATCTAACTTAAATATTCTTGTGTTTTACACAAGCGACATTTGAGATTGTGTAAACACAAACTAATATATTTGTATTTATTTTAATTATTGTTCCTATAACTTTTTTAAATTTTTACCAGTTGCGAGCAAATCATCTTTCTATTTGGCGAAGTGTTTTTCGAATCTTTACAACATTGTACACTTGTATAAGTATCGTTTGTGGTCATTTGTAAATGAAAAATGAAATATGGAAGTTATTAATTAAGTCATTAATTTATTGAAATGAACATGCTGTCCAAAAACAATAATGCTAATCTATTCCTCAGTAATATATTCGAATGTAAAATAGAGAATCTCGTCGCTCGTATTAATGCGGATTTAGAAATTATTGAATATGAATACTTTTTATCAGTCAGAGGTTTAGCTATAGCTTAGAGGGAAAAATCAATGGTACCTAAACAAAATTTTCTAATTGGTGCTGGATAATTCATAACGTTAAATGGTTTAATTTCTTCCCATTACTTGCTTGGTCGTTAAGCTTGGTCGTTAAGATGCTTGCCTTCCAATCCCAGGGTTCTGGGTTCAATTCCTGTCAGTGTTGCAGGATTTTTTTCTCACAACCAAAAAACTCCCTATCTCACATTGAGATTTAGTTTGTGTAAAGCATCGTGTGTGTATGTTTGTCTTGTGTAAGGGATTGTCACCTACAAGTAGGAAAGTGATATATTGGCTATTGACAATCCTTGGCAAATGTATTGTGTGCCTAAATAAATAAATTTTAAAAAAATTACAAAAAAAACTTTGTTAATACAGATATTTAAAGGTATGGCTGATCTATGATGCAAAAAGTCTAGTGCTGGGTATGATTCGCTATTATAATGCTGTTATACGTTCTGTTATAGAATACGCAACTCCAATTGGAACTTCTATAACTGAAACACAGAGTAAACAGCTTGAACAAATCCAACGTAGGGCTTTAGTGGTTATTTTACCGGGTGTTAGCTAAGAATGGGCAAGGTCTTTTTTAATATCTCTTTACTGTCAGAGAGGCGCACCCGGTTGTGCAGAAACTATTTCCCAGACCAGTGTTGTAGGCCTTTATCAATCAAAGATGCAACTTAGTAGTAAGATGATATTTTAATTGATTTTAACATGATTTTTATAATATCTTTACATGTATTGAATAATAGGCCTGCTATAGTGAATAATCATGTATTTTAAATCTTTATTTATTGCCATGTTTAAGGTTGGAAGTGGATTCAAAAGTGGGTGGTGACGCAGCTTCTCCGGGGCTCCTAGACTTAGGGGAACTAAGCGGTTCCTAGAAAGCACTGAGGCTTTATATTACTCGTCAAACATCCATTGTAAAATGGTGGGGTGTAGTTGTAGTGACCCCTTTTAATAAATCATAAGCCATAATAATGTGCCTTGAAGATCTTGGTCTATCTAGTTTTTTTGAAAATTATAAAAATAGTTAACGTTTTGTCAAGGCGTTACAGTAGAATGCAGTTGTAGGCAAGAATCCCGTGGACTCTACTGGACTTATTTAGACTATGACTTGGACTAGAAAGCTCAAGCGTTTTGCCACTGTTAGGGCTCAATAGTAAAGTGCTGGGTAGTAGCATGAGTCTCCTCCTCCCCACTTCGAGCTCACGAGTGTTACACAACTGGTTACTGTTTATTTTAATACGGTATGCCATAATTGGACTTAACGTGATAATATGGAAAATTACATCGTTTCTGATATGCGTGTACGGTAAAACAATATTTGGCATTGGAATAGCTTTCCAACGATATCAAACACTACTTTTGGTAAGTTTGATATTTCCACCTATTGTGTGTGCCTTGTGACTCTGTAGGGCTATATTATCTGTAAATAGGCCTATGTATTACTAGGCAAGTATTACATAAAAACTTCCGGTACACCATGTGTAATAATATGGTTTTTGAGGAAAAAACAATGGTTGGTTGTCGCGACGTTTCGATGAGATTTCTCTGACCGTCATTAGGAGAAAGATAAAAGATGACTTCTGTTGATCTTAAATAGAGATGGTGATCATTGGTAATCTATTTTTCCTTGAAACAAAGAAGAGTGAAGAGAGGTTGATTGAAGTTAGAAAGCCGGAGAGCGTCCATTCGTCGTGACTATTTTCTTTCAATGACAAAGATAAATGATAATGGTAATTGTAAGGACTATGCCCGACAGGCTTATAATTTACAATTCACAATCCCGTATAAATAAAATGAAAACCAACATTACATGTAAACAAATAAACTGGTGGAATTTTCGAAGTGAAGATGGTTTAAATAACGATAGGTTTATTATTTAGTACATTTAATGATGTATTACCAGCATTTTGTGACTGGTTTACAAACAAATTATGTCTACATATTATTACACTTAAAACAAAATAACAATAATTTTTTCACAATTTTCAACGAAAGCTAGCTGACAACGTTAACCTATTTCCTATGGAAATCAAACTGTATGTGAAATTGAAACTTTTTTTAGAAGTTTAAATTCATGAACATCTGAGATAGACCAGTCATCAAAATTTTACTTCACAAAAAATATCTAAATTGATTGGTAATACAAATAGAATTAGGCACTTTTTTACCCTGAATTTTTTACCCACAATTTGGAGCCTAATAATGAGCGACATTGAGAGGAAACACCACCCGGATACGATTTCCTGTAGGCATAATAGTAAATATGAGGAAGACTCAGTATATGTATATATAAAAAGCTTCTTCAATCATATGACTGCTAAACATCACGTGTGAACTATTTGGTGAGGTGTGATATTTGTCGGTGTCAGGAGAATCAATCTGTTTATAAATACATTCACTTCATCTCAGCAGACACACAATTAAGTCAAGAATTCTGATATCCATTTCATCTACAGGATAACAGTTGATAAATTAAAAAAATTTGAAACGATGCGTTTTTATGCTTGTTCTGTAGCCCTGTGCTGTGTTGTTAGTATTTGCAGTGGTCAGGAAAAATGCTGTATTAATTATGACATCTACACTCATACTACCGGTATGTATTATGGTATTGTTACAGTCGACTTTTCTTAATTGTATTATTATGGTTATGTTAAGTAGAAAAAAGGAAGTATTAGTAGGCCCTACTTACCTAATATATCCTTTATAAAATCCTAGCTGTTATATTAAATATATTCACATGCCCACTACAAGTGACTCGTTTGCTCTCGTGCGGCGGTCTGCTAGGCCTTTATCTCCTAGGGTTCTCGATATAGAACTCTGACCCCCAAAAGGATTTGCTGATACATGACTGTAGGACATATCATATCCATTGACGAAATTAAGGCGAGAAACACCCCGCCTCCCTTCCAATTATTCATATTTGTTTTTAAAAAATAGAGGTTAAAAAGAAATTTATATTCAAATTATTAGCTTGTGAGCGTTATTCCGGCCATCTATATGTGCTATAATCATTATTTTTTTAACGCTTTCATCTTAGTCCCACCCATGGTAGGGCTGAGCTAGCCAATACCCTCCAATTCTAAAAATAGGTCCCTCTATTTCAAATTCCTGGATCTTCCACTAATTTTAAGTCGTTTATTTCGGTGTTAAAACATTTAGAATTACCATGTCTAAAACTCATATTAGAATTGGCCACCGGCCAGGACTAAAAAAAATCCCCCAGTCGCAGTGAACCACAGGGCTCCGCCCCAAGTGTTACACTATTGGACACAGTGAAACTGGTAAACTGAACACTTGCATAATTTAAATAACGCGGTGGCTGTTTACGAAGAGTCGTAAACATTATTGTATGGAAATGTCATACAGGCCCGTAGCCAGTTTCTTCCAAGGGGTGAAGGGGGGGGGGGTTCTTGGCGTAACGTCCATAGTCGAAGCCCCGGTGGGGTCCGCGAAACCCCCAAAGCAAGAAGATTTTGTGCTTTATGGGTCTAAATATATGCTATAAAAGCAGATATTATGTTTGAAAATGTCTGTGTCTGGGTGGGTCTGCAGTGCATTAGTTGGGGTTGGAGGACTTATTTGGGATATTTAAAGAGGGGGTTTCGCCAGAAATGAGGGGGGTGTTGCTAGAAAAGGGGGGTTTTCACGACCCATAACCCCCCCCCCCCAACTTGGATACGGGCCTGTCATAGGCCTATGTGAGCCTGATGCAATGCATGTAATCGTATAGCTGGCAGCTGTGGTGTCATGATCACCCGACTCCCTCACCCTCCTTTTCGGAGAGGCCAAGTACCCTTCTGTCCTACTTAGGCAAATATTAAAGCCACAACTGTATGCAAAATTTTGTGTTTTAGAAGCACAAAGAACCACTTTCAATATCAAGTCTTTGCTGTGCTTTGCATAATACAATAGTTCGCTTTTCTGTATTCAGAAACGATCGTTAGTTTTATTAAAAATGGACATCTTATCACATTTGAGGACCATCTTATCTCAGTGATGGACTATAATCAGTCTCGTTTTCTCTTCAACAAAACATTCGAAGGAATCACAACTCAAATGTATATTGAAGACCACATCCAGGTTAGTAGACTTTGATAATATATAAATAGTATCTTTAATTAAAAGAATCAATTAAATGCAAAAAAAGGGGAAAAAACAGAATAAACAAAATAAGCAAACATATATATATATA